AGAGGTAGTACATGTTCTTGAATGTGAGCTACCTTAAAGTGATCTGATGCTTTACAGAACTCATGTGAGTAAAGTCTCTCTGAGTTAAGCATGGTTAGATTATGCAGAGAGGTAGTACATGTTCTTGAATGTGAGCTACCTTAAAGTGATCTGATGCTTTACAGAACTCATGTGAGTAAAGTCTCTCTGAGTTAAGCATGGTTAGATTATGCAGAGAGGTAGTACATGTTCTTGAATGTGAGCTACCTTAAAGTGATCTGATGCTTTACAGAACTCATGTGAGTAAAGTCTCTCTGAGTTAAGCATGGTTAGATTATGCAGAGAGGTAGTACATGTTCTTGAATGTGAGCTACCTTAAAGTGATCTGATGCTTTACAGAACTCATGTGAGTAAAGTCTCTCTGAGTTAAGCATGGTTAGATTATGCAGAGAGGTAGTACATGTTCTTGAATGTGAGCTACCTTAAAGTGATCTGATGCTTTACAGAACTCATGTGAGTAAAGTCTCTCTGAGTTAAGCATGGTTAGATTATGCAGAGAGGTAGTACATGTTCTTGAATGTGAGCTACCTTAAAGTGATCTGATGCTTTACAGAACTCATGTGAGTAAAGTCTCTCTGAGTTAAGCATGGTTAGATTATGCAGAGAGGTAGTACATGTTCTTGAATGTGAGCTACTTTAAAGTGATCTGATGTTGTACAGAACTCATATGAGTATATAAGCATGGTTAGATCATACAGATTAGTACATGTTCTTGAATGTAGGTTACCTTAAAGTGGTCTGATGTTGTACAGAACTCATGTGAGTTAAGTATGGTTAGATCATACAGAGATAGTACATGTTCTTGAATGTGAGTTACTTTAAAGTAATCTGATGTTGCACAGAACTCAGTGCTGATTAAAGCTTTCTATTGCAGGAATGTTCTCTCTTTAAGTAAAATAAGATTAAGATCTACAGTACATACCTTGTGTTTTGTCGTAAGATTTCCGAACTTCGTATGAGCCTGGTGGGGGGATGTCCTGTAATATAAAGAATGCCATTGTTAGATTTCACTCTGATATCATAGTTGTGCATGCAGTACATAGTTTATTACGTATATATATTACGGATTAAATAACCATTTTGAATACTGGTCGTCTAATTATTTAGGCAACACAATGTTAAGCACCAATACGTGTCCCATTACCTATTTTACACAAAAAATGTAACGATTTGAATGTTGGGGGGAGGGGTTTCTAAATTTTCTAGATGAAGGTGGGGGCGTCTTGAAAATAAAGGTCTTGCGATTGGGGCGGCTCTAAAAAAGTTCAATATTTGGTATTTATCAAACACCGCCCCCCCCCCACATTAATGACCAGTCCCTAAAAAGATGTCAATACAATATGTGAATCAATCAGAGTCACTATCTTGATCATTTTCCGATTTGTCAGGAGGCAAATGGTGTCTCCAAAGAAAGTACATGTGCAGACAACATGAAACTTTAGACTGCAGAAAATTGCACAAGCAGTTATCAAACTCGTGTCACAGAAGTGGTAAAGGACATGTGTGACAACTGAATGGTATCCTTTTGTAAAGATTTTGGCCAGGGGTGGGTCAAAATTATTACCAAGGAAAACATTTCTCTTCGGTGCTCCCACCCCACCCTCCCCCCCCCTGCCATAAATAATGGCCGCTCCCTTAGTCCATGAGGAGATTTAATAATCATTAATAATCATACCTTGACGATGGGAGGTGGTGAATGGAGTCTATCTGTGAGAGAAGCGAACGTTGATGACAGTTGAACATCTTGTTTTGGTTTCTTGTCCGTGTTCGTGTAATGTGCGGGACCTGGCAACGAGTCTTCGTGGGTTCTCGTCATGGGTGCGGTCCGTACTGATGAAGTGCCAAAGGCGACTTTTTTCTTGCTTGTCATGCTGTAAAGAATGCATAAACGTTTGCCTCAATTTTCAGGCTTTGAAAAACACTAAACTTCAGTTTCATTTAGGTCGGACAGAATGTCCAGTGTTTTTCTCTCTACGTCGGACAATTTCACGAATGGGTCGGACAATGCCGTCACAGACCGATATTTTAAGGCACGATTTTTATATTAATAACAACAAATTAAGTACATTGATTGATTTAAATTACAGGGTGAGGACTAAACGCCTACAGTTGACAAATCACTATGCGAAAAAGCAGTTTTTGTAGGCCAAAAAGTCAGCGTCCATGGAAAAATTGTCGGCCAGCTTTTCAACATTCGAAGTTCCTTGCTTGATAAATTTCTTATAGCAATTAACGAAAGCAATTCAAAAGCTAAAAACAATATAAAGCCCAGGGCAAACTAGGAAACATTGTTTCCTACCAATGTTTCGCCATGTTTCCCAGTGTGGGCAAACACTGGGAAACATTAGTGAGAAACATCAAATGTTTCTGAATTTGATAGGAAATATTTTTGCTTCCCGGGAAGCAAATTTTGTTTCCGCAACAATGTTTCCACGGGTGAGCAAACATGGAAACATTTCATATACATCGAAGTATAAGCAGAAATAAACCGGAGATATCGACTATAAATATTACATATACGTACACATTTTTCTTGATAATTTCTGATACTTGATCGGGGACATTATATGAACCAGGGCCTGTTGAAAATAAGACAAATCAAAAACTGTTTAGAACTGATAGAGATATCCTGTCGAAATAAAGTTGTCTAGATTCTAGCCCAAATAAAGTATAAAAAAAGCTAATTCAACTTCGGACAGGTTACCATGAGTTAATCATTACGTTTAAAGGTCTTATGTTTTCGTATTTATAATTCAGATCAGGGGCCGGTTGTTCAAAAGACAATTAGCTTAATCCTAGGTTAACTTAAAATTCAAAGCAAATTTCCCCACAGCTTGGTTATAAACTTGGAAATATTTCTTAACAAACCATGTCTGGACCAATGAAAGTTTACTTCTCTGAAGTTTTGAAATAAATAGATGTGCAGAAATGCATAAACTAAAACAGCAGCTTAAAATTTAACCCAGGATTAGCGCTAATCGTGTTTGAACAACCGGCCCCAGGCTTTTAGTTGTCAAATGCAGACACCTTTATCAAATCGTTGGGATAAAAATGACCAAATGCGATCTGATTTAAAGGAGCAGTTGAATTCGCATTTTTCCACCTTTGGGTTTTAATGTTTTTCCAATTTAGTGTTCTTCCATTTGCCCAAATGTTTGTTGCCCATTTGGAAAACACGAGGGAAAACGTACGTCATTGTGAGTCTAGTCTGCAAGCTTCCAGTGTTGTAAAATGTTGTAGTCGCTCAATTTCGATGTAAAATTCCGAGTAAAAGTTTGTCAAAACTTGACTGATGGTTTCACATGTGTTGCGCCATATTTACTCAAGGGACTTCAATTTGAATCCCAAATGAGAATAATTTCAATACTCAGACAATAGCTTTACATGCAATTTCCCAACGGTGGAAAATAAAATGCGATTTCGAGCGACATTTTTAAATCGGATCATATTTGGCTATTTTTGATCGCAATGATAAAAGAAAGGTAGCATTCGCCAATGCTAAAGGTCTGCAGGGCCGGTTGTTCAAAGGTGGGTTAGCGCTAACCCTGGGTAAAAAATTAACCTGCTGTTTTAGTTAATGTATTTCTGCACGTCGCTGTTTATTTCAAAACTTCAGAAAAGTAAACTCCTATCGATCCAGACAAGATCTCTGAAGAAATATTTCCAATTTTATAGACAAGCTGTCAGGAAGTTTGCTTTCACTTTTAGGTTAACCTGGGGTTAGGCTAACCCAGCTTTGAACAACTGGCCCCAGATCTTTATTGGTATGAAAAACGTAAATGGAAAAACGTAATATATGATGTACGATTAAATGCCAAAGTTCACACCAGGGTGTATTAAAAAGAAGAAAGACCATTTTATACATCCTGATGTATTACAGAGTTTGCACATGACGTCACAGCCGCCAATTTCAGAAGAATTTTAATTAGACTCTTTTGTCTGGAACACCAATATGGCCGCCATGGCTTTTGTTAGTTGGTCCCTGCAAGGGGAATGAGTGCAACAAGGCCGGATTTTGGTGGAAATATACTGGGGCATAGCCTATCGAAGGGGAGATGGCTGTAAAACTCATTAGAATAACAATATAACTCATTATCTATGTTAGTCAACGTTTATTCATAAATTTGGTCCTTCACCGTCACGTGCGTATTGTATTTTTGCCAAATCCACCAATAACAATTTCCAATTTCCCTATTGTTTGAGTCACGGATAGGTGACTTTCCTAAAACATCGCTATTGATTAGCTGGGAAAAATACAATACACACGTGAGTTGACGTGATGGTGAAGGACCAGAGCTAGATTTATGAATAAACGTTGACCAACATAGATAATGAGTTATATTCATTTGTTATTCTAATGAGTTGCACAGCCATCTTCCCTTCGATAGGCTATGGCTGGGAGGAGGTGAAAAACTGTTTAGGTGAGGTGCAGCGATCCTAGCTCATGGGAATGTTAGGGGTTAGAATGTACCCCTGCCCCCATAAAGTAAACTACGTGGCGTATGCACGTATTCATGAATTATGACTGTACAACAAACACAAAGAAATCTGCTGTGTTGGTGTAATGTACAAATGTCGTAGGTTCGAATCCCGCCGTGGCCAGGCATATTTTTCAAGCCTGCCCGGTGTGGATATACACTCAGAGTAACTCCACACAAACATCTTATTCACGTGAGTACATTACATCAACACAGCAGATTTCACAATTATTAGATTACACTGATATCGAAAGAACTAGACTCAGTTCCGAAATATCACATACTCAAACCGATCTGACCGCGTAGCTCAGTTGGCAGAGCATAGGGCTAGTGTTCCAAAGGTCGTAGGTTCGAATCCCGCCGTGGCCAGCCATATTTTTCAAGCTTGCCCGGTGTGGATATACACTCAGAGTAACATCGCAGACATGATATTCACCTGAGTACATTACACCAACACAGCAGATTTCACGATTATTAGATTACACTGATATCGAAAGAACGAGACTCAGTTCCGAAATATCGCATACTCGAACCAACCTGACCGCGTAGCTCAGTTGGCAGAGCATTGGGCTAGTATTCCAAAGGTCGTAGGTTCGAATCCCGCCGTGGCCAGGCATATTTTTCAAGCCTGCCCGGTGTGGATATACACTCAGAGTAACATCGCAGACATCATATTCACCTGAGTACATTACACCAACACAGCAAATATCATGATTATTAGATTACACTGATATCGACGAACTAGACTCAGTTCCGAAATATCGCATACTCGAACCAACCTGACCGCGTAGCTCAGTTGGCAGAGCATTGGGCTAGTATTCCACAGGTCGTAGGTTCGAATCCCGCCGTGGCCAGGCACATTTTTCAAGCCTGCCCGGTGTGGATATACACTCAGAGTAACATCACACAAACATCAAACACAAAGAAATTTGTCAAAATTTAACTTCCATTACCATTCCCAAGGAGAGGTGCATGACTTTTCAGGAGAGGTTCAAAAATCTCAGGGGAGGTACAAAACTATCTCAGGCGAGGTGCGCACCTCCTCTCAAAATCTGGCCATGGAGTGCAAACGCTCTATAAAAATATCTTTGCATAAATATGAAGTTCAGTACCTGGTACACTCTTAGTGTGCTTGTTGTCATAAAATCTTATCGAAGTTTGCCCAAACGGAGTTCCTTTAATGCCTTTCACCCTATAGTAGAGATATGATCATTTATACAGCTGAAAACGTGTTTTAGATTACTTACTGTCGGATAGAAAATATATATACAGCTAATTCAAAAAAGGTTGTCCTTTGGAAACATTCAAAAAGTCTAAACCTTAAACTCTAAGCGTGCAAAGCATAATGGGAGCATCATTTAAGGCGTAAAAAAAACACCTGTGGTTCCGGTTTCATATCGTGAAAAAATTAGGGTCGGTAGGTCGGAAATAAATTTTTTTTTGAATATTTTTTTCATGGTTTTGGTGGTTTTTTGCTGGGCGATTTGCACTTCCCGACATCAATATTAACTAGAGATGCGTATTTTCTATGGCGAATTTAGGCAATTTGCATCAATAATTAGTGTGACAACAGACGCCATTTTGGCACGCTGTATGAGCAGCCCGCAACCACCTGGAGAAAATAGGGTCGCACGGTCAATCGCGTTGAAAAGGGTCGGTCGGGAACCGGAACCACAGGAATTTTTTTTACGCCTAATGAGTTTAGAAATCATATATGTGGCCCATTTGTTAGAGACATGGTAAATATCTCCTTACGAGAACAATTCATTCACAAATAGCTGCAATATTCAACTACTAAGCTTGAAACTTGTGCTCCCATTAATTAAGCTTTGCGCGCTTAGAGTTTAAGGTTTGCAAAGGACAACCTTTTTGAATGGACCTTTCCCCTTATAACTAAAATTTTGATCTAGACAAGTCTAGACAAAAATTTCATCACAGCTTGAAAGAGCATCACAAAATTAGTAGTATTCCGAAGTTTCTTTGCGAAATGTTGTAAAATGCGGATAATATAGCCTTGCGAAATTTGCAATTTTCAGTCACTTTGTATTACAAACGGGAAATTGATGCCCCAACACCCGTTTGGGATGTCAATTTCCCATGCGTAATACAAAATGACTGAAAAACGGAAAACCTCGCAAGGCTATATTATCCGCATTTTACAACATTTCGCAACGAAACATTGGAATATTACTAATTTTGTGATGCTCTTTCAAACTGTGATGAAATTTTTGCCAAGATCCAAATTTTAGTTATAAGGGGAAAGGTCCATTGGCTGTATATTTTTGTTACCTTCTTAAAGTTTCAAAAGCTGTTCTTGGATCATTATAACTTCCAGGTGCTGGGAATAAGTTAGAGCTGCCATCAAATCTCTGTTGTAAAACAGGAGACAATTGTTAACATAATATATATTGGCTGTTATACATGATCTATTCTTGGACTCTGGGGCAATAGACCTGGACTACAAGGTGTCCCAAAAATGTTCCCCTTTAGAACAGTGGTGTCAAGTAACGAAGTAAATGTACTTCGTTACTGAACTTGAGCACTTTTTTTGGAACACCCTGTATATGTGGCTACAGAGTCAGACTACAGTACAATGTGGCGTACTTGCGATGTGTTCAAAACCTAAAATCTTTTTGGCGTTCCTCTCAAAATTACTTTGTTTTAGCTTTAGTTTGTAGTTTACACAGTTAGCAACCTTTTGAAAATGCATCTGGCGGTTGAGAAACACAAAATAGTAGTCGAATATTGTCAACTGATATAAATACAATTATCATTGATGCTGTAAAATTGACGCCATATTTATACAGCAATATAAGCAAAACTTACTGAACTTCAGACATCATTTTCTCTTTGGCGTACCATCTAAAATCTCTTCATTTTAGCATAATTTTACAGATAAAGCACTAAACACACTTTTTAAGTTTGTTTGCCGCTTGAGAAACGTATTAAAAATTAAGAAAAAAGAAAAAATCTCCTTTTAAAAGTTTGAATATTTTAGTCAAATATTTAACACGCCTAGCTAGTATTGGGCTGCCTATCGTATATATAAAAGCGTGAACAAAAACGAATTTATAGCATGTCAAGGTATATAGGGCTCAAAATAACCGGGGATAGGTCTCCGGTCAAAATGACCGGTCAACTTGATTTTAGCTCGGTCAAAATCTGTTTTTGACCGGCCATTGATACGCTTACACTAACAGTGAAACAAACTATTAGTGACTTGTTTCGATTTTCATGTTTTAATTTAAGACGTCAGCAATCACATTTGAAGGCATAAAAATGTGGCCGGTCAAAATGACCGAAGACGTAAAAGAGTGACCGGTCAAGAGGCATTCTGGCCGGCCATTGTGCGTCGACCGGCCGTTATAGTTTGAGCCCAGCTGAATACGGTTTTATAAAAGTGTCTTACTCTTGCTTGTGAGCCAAATGGTGCGACCAGCGCTGTATGGTCTGTTTCGGGCAAGACTTTATGATGTTCAAATTGACTTTTGATCTGATAATGTCCTGGAGCTGGTACACCCTAGAAAAAAAGACAACAAATTATACCCTAGAAGCAAATGTTCTGCCAAATCATGCCTCAAGTTTTGATGATAAGTTCATATAATATTTGCAACACTTATAGCGTACCCCACCAAGTGCATGGTGTCTAGCACCCCCTGGAGAAGCCCAGCACCACCCTAAAAAAATCTGCCTGACCATACAATTCAGTTCTGCTTTTCAAAAAGCGATCAGCGGAACTTCTACTGTTAGATTTTCGATTTTTTGAAACGATTCAATTAATTAGTGAGCTCACGAGAAAATACTCAGAATGCTTTAGTTAGATATCATGGTTAAATATGTAAACATGTTGAGGTTGTTATACAGCTACCATATTTCCAAATGTATACTCTATACTTTAACAAGTAAATTTGCTGTACTGTGCTACAGCAACTGTTCAGTCATGCACACGTGATAAAAAGCCGATATAAACTTTATAAACAAAAGATAATGTAATGGACCATTCCCCAATTAACCAAAATTTTGATCTCAACAAGTCTAGACAAAATTTCATCACAGCATGAAAGAGCATCACAAAATTAGTAATATTCCAAAGTTTCGTTGCGAAATGTCGTAAAATGCGGATAATATAGCCTTGCGAAATTTGCAATTTTCAGTCATTTTAGATTACAAACGGGAAATGGTTACCACTTTTCCAAAATTTTTATCTTAACTAGCCTAAACAAAAATTTCATCACAGCTTGAAAGAGCATCACAAAATTAGTAATATTCCAAAGTTTCGTTGCAAAATGTTGTAAAATGCGGATAATATAGCCTTACGAAGTTTGTAATTTTCAGTCATTTTGTATTACGCACAGAAGTGGTAACCATTTCCCGTTTGTAATCTAAAATGACTGAAAATTGCAAACTTCCCAAGGCTACAATATCCGCATTTTACAACATTTTGCAACGAAACTTGCTGTGATGAAATTTTTGTCTAGACTTGTTGAGTTCAAAATTTTGGTTAATTGGGGATTGGTTCATTAAAAACGTAACAGAACGGCGAACATGCAGATTCGGCCATCTCAAATAATGGTAATGTTGGGATAGTAGCGTTGCAGACTGCAGAGGAGAGTGGGCAGTAAGGCTCCCTCATGCACCACCCCATGGAAAACCTGCACCCCTCCCTGCAGATGAGCCTAGATCTGCCCGTTAGGAAGGGTAAAATAATAATAAAACTAATTCTTCAATCTTGCCTTCTTTTCCTCTTCTTTGGGAATTAGTTCATGGTATCTAGGAATCTGAAAACACATTCATTTGTAAAAATAAATTCAACTGGTTAACAACAGTAACGATTGACACACTGACGGATAGCGCCATTTAAAATGGAAATCATCCGTTGTTTGAAAGTTAAATGCTAGGCGTTAATATTTATCTTCAAATGGTTTCGAGGCATTTTTTCTATATGTCGCATATTTGCGATGAAAAGTGTTCAAAACTTAAAATCTTTTTGGCGTTCCTCTCAAAATTACTTTGTTTTAGCTTTATTTTGTAGTTTACACAGTTAGCAACCTTTTAAATGTATCTGGCGGTTGAGAACCACAAAATAATTGGAACATACAATCATAAAATACAATTATATCAATGATGATTCAAAAGTGCAGTAAGCACAACTTACTGAACTTCAGACATAATTTTCTCGTTGGCGTAACATGATCTACAATCTCTTCATTCATTTTAGCATAATTTTAATTAAAGGTAAAGCACTAAACATACTTTTTAAGTTTGTTTGTCTTTTAAGAAACGTGTCGAAACGAGCGCACGTTATGTAATATACAAAACAATCTCCTTTTTTAAACTAAATGTTCCCTTTGTATAGTCTTACTTTTGCTTCGAAGAATCTTTTGTTGTGTTCTTCTATGATCTGTGAATTTACAAATACCACAAAAATTAAAAGCGCCACGCCACAAACACACAATGTTCAATTTAATTGATACTAATTAATTCAAAAAATAATTACCAAATCTATTGGTGCTTTGTTGTCTGGTAGTTCGTAAGGATTGTATGCGCCAGGTCCTGGTCCTTGTGTGTTTCCTGAGGGAAAAAAAATACATTTTAGCATCGATCAAACCAGGGGCGGACCCCCCCTCCTCCCAGTGGTGTCTATCCCCCCACCCCACCCCCTAGAGAAGACCAGCACCGCCCCATGGAAAACCTGCACCCCTCCTTGCAGATGAGGCTAGATCTACTCCTGGATCATATATAACCTTGCTAATCGAGCATGCGCTTTGGAGACTACTGCAAGTTTTCTTGCATTTCCGATTCCGTGTATCCCATGGCCTGTGAAGGTCGCGCACGGCCAAGAAGCCCTGGAAACGAGGATGGTACATGTATAGTTGCGATAACGGAAGATATTTACCCCGAAAATTGTGACGTTTTGAATCCTTCTTTCCAAAATAAACACCTTTGTAATTCCTTGTCGTTTGAGTGTCTCTCTGCATGTAATGAAAAATAAAAGTAAGCTGTAAAATATATTTGGCTGAAGTGTGTTCATGTAATATCTGCATATACTATATAATAATAATTTTGTTTATTGTAACACTGGACCAATCCAGAATGATTGTTAGGGGCTGTTTATATGGGGCGAGCCAGCCTGGGTACCCGAGCTAGTCCGCTTTGCCGAGCTGAATTCATCCCGCGTGTTTACATGAGACTTTTGAGGCGGACTGTCTCGCCAAAACGTGTCCGGTTAGATACAGGTCTCGCTGCTATAAATCGTGTGATATAAATATATTTTTTCACCAATCTCAAATTCGTACTTTCGCAAGCAACCTTGACCGATGTAAACCACAGAACCGTTCACAGAGACGTTTTAAGATCGAAATCGGTCGAAAATATCTCATTTTCAACAATATGTTCGCGTGAACATAGCAATAACACTCAAAACTCATAAGCCTCTTGGTTTCATTTGGGCTTCCTTGCCTTAATACTATATATAACTACATATTTATATTTTTTGTATCTACTCTATGTGTGGCAAAATAAATTGACTTGACTTGAGCCAACTTAGGCCAGCCCAGGTCTTTGCGTTTATATGGAAAATTCCCAGCCCGTTTACCGGAGATCTCGGCACAGTCGAGGCGGGATCTCGTTTAGGCGGGCCAGCTCGGTTCCCATATAAACGCAAAATGAAACTAAGTAGGGAAATAATAACAAAAGCGTGATCTCGCCCAAACCGCGGGCCCGTTCGGGTACCGGGGCTGACTCCCCCCATATAAACAGACCCTTAGTTCCTCGGCATGGGGAAAACAGTCTTCAACTGCTAGCGTGGCAGTGCCGCCAGACATTTGGGGACGGGGGCAACCTACCCTGGCGGCCAAAAACCATTGATTGATAGCTGAATAACAAAGCTGTGACAATTATTTCCCTTTCACAAAAGCATAGCAGGCTATAGATTGTCAAAAATTGCGGTTGCCATAGAGTATTTTAATAAAACACAAAACAATAGACACGCCGAAAATTGTCAACATTTTTATTCTTTACGTTTCGACTATAATTTAAGTCATCTTCAGAAGAATCTTCAGAACAGTTCGTCTGACTTAAATTTTATTTTATTTTTATTTTTTATTTTACAAGTTTGCCATTGCAATAGATCTTATATATAGAGTACTATGGTTACAAATGACTGGAATTTCCACACAGAGATAGTTCTCCAATAACGGGGTTCCAAATTATAGTCCAAACGTAATTATAGAATAAAAATGTTTACAAGGTTCGGACAGTCTATTGTTTTGTGTTCTATAGATTGTCAGTGGGCAGATTGGTGAAAATTTTAGGGTAATTGTTCATTTGATGATAAAAGCACATAACTTGGCATAATGTAAGGTATATATTGCATAGATTTAAGGAGAGGAGTTACTTTAAATACTAACATGATCGACATTATAATATGCTGGTCCCATAGAAAAGTCTTTATCTGGCATTAGCTGAGGTTTCAATGATCCGTCAGTCGCTTCCTCGTAGCCATAAGACTTGCCGGGCGAGGGAATCGAAGGAGGGTCTGTCTTCCTTAGAAATATGATGCGACGTCCTTGTTGATTCTATATCAGAACAAAAAATTAGTCAAAAACGTTACGTACGGTATCTCTACTTATTGCTGCAGTTTTAAATTCAGAGCGGATCTACCCTAATGTGCAAGGAGGGTCTGCAACGCTACTATCCCAACATTACCATTATTTGAGATGGCCGAATCTGCATGTTTACGGTTCTGTTACGTTTTACATTATTTATCTTTTGTTTACAAAGCTTATATTGGCTTTTATCACGTGTATGCGTGACTGGACAGTTGCTGTAGCACAGTGCAGTAAATTTGCTTGTTAAAGTATACAGTATATATTTGAAAATATGGCTATCTAACAACCTCAATATGTTTACATATTTAGCCATGATATTTAACAAAAGCATTCTCACTCTGATATATTTTCAATCTATATATGTATATTTAAATCAATCGTCTCAAGAAATCGACACGCGCTAACAGTAGAAATTCCGCTAGTCGCTATTCAAAAAGCAGAAAATGTATGGTCCAGCAGATTTTTTAGGGTGGTGCTGGACTTCTCTGGGCGGTGCTAGATCCGCCCCTTATGTTTAAATTCACATATGTGTAAAATTATAACAGTATAGACTACCTCATCCTCACTGATAGCTTTTTGTGGCAGTTGTTTTATCCAATCAGAGTGCTTGGATAGGTTATATGTCCCAGGTCCAGGAATCTTTTCGCTCGATTTGCCAAACCTTTCGGACTAAGAATACAAAATGGAAGGTGAGTGACGGAAATAATTGGAGACACTGGATCAATAAGAGATGATCCTTACTGGATCTCCATAAAGAGAACAGTTTAGAACTGATAGAGCTATATCCAGTATAAATAAAGTTAGTTTAGTTTAGGTTCCCCCCTGTAATAACACTGGATCAATAAGAGATTATCCTTACCGCATGGATCTCTAGGAAGAACAGTTTAGAACTAATAGAGCTATCCAGTATAAATAAAGTTAGTTTAGTTTAGGTTTCCTCCTGTAGTAACACTGAATCAGTAAGAGATGACTCTTACTGGACCTCTAGGAAGAACAGTTTAGAACTGATAGAGCTATCCCAGTATAAATAACGTTAGTTAGTTTAGGTTTCTTCCTGTAGTAACACTGGATCAATAAGAGATGATCCTTACTGGACCTCTAGGGAGAACAATTTAGAACTGATGGAGCTATCCAGTATAAATAATGTTAGTTCAGTTTAGGTTTCCTCCTGTAGTAACACTGGATCAATAAGAGTACCGTCTTGATATATCAGACAAGATGTTAACGACACAAGGTTGTAACAAAATTGTTAAATCATGACTGTATCGGACGCATTGGAACAACCTTGCAACAAGTCTGATAACATCAACAACAAAGTTGGTACAAGTTGTGAACTGCTTGTTTCAAATTTATAACAACCACTGGAAAGAAGTAGTTCGAACACAACTTAATGTAGATGACTTGTAGGTAGACTTGCTAGATACAGGATGCGAGATTTTTGCATGACTGTGTACTATTACGCTAACAGACTTTTGAACAATATCACTTAATATTTACTTGTCAGTTTAAGAGAAAGTATACTGCCAGCAATGAATGGTTTAATTTAACAATGTGCTTTTACCGTATTTGACAAGGACTGTCCTCCCCTGACTCGATCTAAATTCTTCAACAGAGGATCATATTGTCCGGGCCCAGGCGCTGTTATTGTTTGATCACTGACGTCAACGAATGTTTCTCGACTGGTCATTGAACCGAATGGTGCATATCCCACTAGTGAAACATAACAAGAAAATTGACAATATTGAACCCATGAAGGCACATGTAGGCCTACTATAGCCTGCTAACCATTATCACAGTAACCCTTTAAGTGGCCCAAAGTGAAAAGTTTTATGTTGCAGAGGATTGAAATATATTTCCTTGAGAAAAATGTTGGATATTTTCCAAAGAAAATATGGTCGGTTCTAACGGTTCACAAAGAGTCGCAGACATCTTGCGCACATTCTATAGGACATCATTTGCAGTTTTTAACAATTTGAGAAATTTTGCACAGATTTTAATTACCGTATTGTAAGAATTTTTTGTGAAAATATAAGCTCCCCGGTGTGTTAAGCCTGCCGCACACGAGACTCGCGTGGTAGCTAAAAATACTCAACAACAACATAATTGACAAAATCGTTTGCATTTTCCTCCATTTTGTTCAAAGTCACATGAAGAAACTATGGTTTCTCATTGGTTAATTGATTCTAGCGGCTTAGCACTAATTAGCTCACAACATCCGCAGATGCTGAGATTTTTTCCTCGCGAGGTGAAAAATATCAAACACGATAGATATTTTCCTCAAGGCCTCGAGAGGCCAAATCCTCACGAAAACTATCCGCACATGCACGAGAGAAACTTGCTGACCTAGCTGCCACGCGAGGCGGTTACCTCGGCAACTTTCTCTTGTGCGCCAGGCTTAAGCCCTGAGGGTCTGGATGGGGACTCTGAAAATCAATAAACGGTAAAATTTTTGGTATTTTAACGGTAAAATGTGTGAATCTGCTGAAAAGTGTTCTGAAACGATAAACAGTATTTTTTCGTCACGCTTCACGGTGCAACAAGGTTGTTACAAGTTGTTAACAGCTTGTTCCAAATTTGTTGTCAACTTGGGACAAGCAGTGCGGACACAACTTGTTGACGGCTCAGGTTGGCAGCTTAAGATTTGCTACACAAGTAAAAACGCACAAGTTGATACAGATCTGCAAACAAGCTTTCAACAAGTTAATGTACGTGTTCGCATTGCTTGTTCCCAGTTGTTGTAACAAGTTTGGAACAAGCTGTTAACAACTTGTAACAAGTTTGATGGCATTATCAGACTTAATTGTTACAAGGTTGTTCTAACAAGTCTGATATCGTCATGATATAGCAAGAATCTTTCAAGGTAATATTTTAACAAGTCTGATACAATCATGATAAACAAGAATGTTACAAGGTTGTAACAATACTGCTATATCATGACTGTATTGGACTTGTTGGAACAATCTTGTAACAAGCCTGATAATATCGACAAGGTTGTTACAAATTAATTGTTACTGAGCTTGTTCTAAACTTGTTCACAACTTGCGACAAGCAGTGCATGCAAACACAACTTGTTGACGGCTTGTTGACAGACTAATTTGCTACAAGATGTGAGGTTTTTGTGTGTGACACAACGGCACATGCAGATCGAGTTCAAGATTGTATTGTTATATCATGACTGTATCAGACTTGTTAGAATAACCTTGTAACTGGTCTGATAATGCCATCAAGCTTGTTGCAAGTTGTTAGCTCAGCTTGTTCCAAACTTGTTATGACAACTGGGAACAAGCAGACCCTTCCACGGTAAACTGTGACGTAAAACTCTCACATCTTGTAACAAGTCTGCCAATTAACAAGCCGTCAACAAGTTGAGTTCACACTGCTTGTCCCAATTAGTTGAACAACATTACAAACTGTTAACAACTAATGTATAAGAACCTTGTTGATATTATCAGACTTAAAAATAAGGAACAATGTGTGGTTACAACATGAGTTTTCAGGCGGTGTACTCGGACCGTCCAGAGAAAGAATGAACATTTAAGATTGCATCAGTAAACCTAGATACCGTTAATGTCAACAATGTAATACCAGACTTGTTGCAAGCTAGGTTGTTCCAACAAGTCCGATACAGTGATGATATAATAATATTGTTACAACCTGGTATAATTGTCAATTCTTGTTATATCATGACTGTATCAGACTTAAATTGTTAGAACAACCTTGTAACATTCTTGTTATATCATGACTGTATCAGACTTGTTAGAACAACCTAACAGCTTGTAACATTCTTGTTATATCATGACTGTATAACTGTATCAGACTTGTTAGAACCTAACAGCTTGTAACATTCTTGTTATAATATCATGACTGTGTCAGACTTGTTAGAACAACCTTGTAACAAGTCTGATAATATGCCATCAAGCTTGGTACAAGTTGTTAACAGCTTGTTCCAAACTTGTTACAACAACTGGGGACAAGCAGTGCGAACACAACTTGTCGACAGCTTGTGAACAGATTTGTAACAACTTGTTTGCAGACCTCTAACAACTTGTGTGTTTTTACATGTGTAGCTGTGCTCCGCGTGATCAGACATGAAGAATTATAAAGTGGCTGCATGCCAGAGGTGCCTTTAGCAAGCTTTCGACTGGATCAGGTTGAGCTGTGTCCTTGGGCTATTCCATTTAATATATGTAAACACCCCCACCTGAATCTTGATCAACGTCCATGCCTTCCGTCACTGGGTCAGGTGTTGAGCTAGAACTGTCATTGTCTAAACTGTTTGTAGGTTTTTGTTTAAGTACTCTAGACCTTCTCGCGGTCCCGTATATATCGTAAATAAGATAGCTCTATCACAGTATCACTTACCGGCAGCCTTGTTTCTCGCGTGTAAAAAGCTAGGCAACTCATAACTACCCGGGCCAACGGTATCAATTGTTGTATTAAGCGGTCGACTGAGGTCCCTCGAAGCTCGATCGTACATATTTGGAGAGGAACTCTTTCAAAAAGACAATCAAATTCGGTCAAAATATCAAACTATATAGCATTCTCCATGGCCACGTTGTTTTGATTTGTGTCACTATGACAACAAAATGATGAACACTCAATCCAGTTTACATAAGAGGTCAGTTGCACGGAATTTGTTGCACGCAACAAATAAAACGAATTGTTTTGCACGCAATAATCGACAATTTGCAATTTTTGCATTTTAAACTAAAGTTTCTAAAAAAAACATAATGAAATTAGTAAAATTGCAAAATTTGGAAAATATAGCCTTGCAAAGTTTGCAAATTTTGTATAATTATGTTTTTATTAGGTGCGGAAATTGTTACCATTTTCGGCTCAAAAATGGTAGCAATTTCCGCACGTATTTACACAAACATATCTCGAAACATATACAAAATATGCAATATATACAAACATATAAAATATGTGTGTCAGTCTTCATTCTGTCATTACGGGCAAGTGCCCTAAAGAGGGTCATCACCCCCCTGAAAACATATTGAAATTTAATGTTCCAGGGGGGGAGTAAATTGCCGCCAGTCATTAATGGGCCTCTGTATTTACCTACTCTGTGATCTTATGAGAGGGATTCACCCCCCTGATAATATTCGAAATGATAATGTTCACCGGGGGGGGACAGGATTGACCATCTGTGTGTCTTATTCTGTGGCAGTGTTTCCTGGGTTTCGGGCAATGCGGGTTAATGAGAGCAAAGTACACTGCACACTTTCCTATTAAAATCGCTCGAATCTGAGTTGTTTTGACGGTAAAAAATTGCTTTTTGAGCTGTCCTTGGAGCTCGAATGAATAAATCTATCTGTAATATGTTGCTGTTCGTAAATTAAAGTCGAAATCAAGTTTGTTTTGCCACCTTGAAAACTGGTGCCTGTCCCCTGACGAACGTCAACAAAAAGTATGGCGTCCAACGCCTCAAATTTGGCATCCTGGGATGTCGATAAAGTCGAGCAATGGCTAAGCGAAAACGGCTTTGATTCGTACGTAGACCTTTTCTGTAAAACGCACAAAATGGACGGATTATGTCTGCAAACTTTGACGGAACGGGACCTAAAGGAACCGCCGATGTATATAAAGGTTTTGGGCGATGTGAAACGGCTATGGTTGGCCATAGTAGAATTACGAAAATCTTGTGGAAACTGTCGAAAAAGCTTAAACTACTCGCGTACTAGCACGCCAGATGACTTAAAATCGGTTGGAGATTTTTCGGACGGGCGGATTTTCACAGACGCCTCCGATTCCGACATCGACCCCCCTGAAATTCTCTTACGGCTGTCGTCGGTAGGGGATACCGGCCGTACCCTATTGGCAGTTGTTTATTGTGTTATGGTGCTGATAATTACCTCGTTAACGATGACGGTTGTCCACGATCGAGTTCCGGACATGAATCGTTACCCGCCCTTGCCCGATATCTTTCTAGATAACATGCCGCTGGTCCCTTGGGCTTTTTACATTTGCGAACTGTCTGCCTCGATAATGGGTTTCATTCTTGCATTGGTGATTGTCATGCATAAGCATCGGTTGATTCTAATTCGACGTATCTGCGCTATCGTTGGTACTGTGTTCCTGTTGAGATGTGTGACGATGTTTTTGACGTCGTTAAGTGTTCCTGGTGTTCATTTGGAGTGCTCCGGCAAGGTATAATGATTTACTTGTGATTAAATGTTGAACATAGGGTTCTTACAAAAATTGAAAGTCCTTGAATGTCCATGAATTTGATAGATAGATGGAAATTGACAGTGGAAATTTATATACAATAATTATAATAACTTACTGACCAAGAATGAGGGCATTATGGGAAGATATCCAACCAAGGTCTTGCTGTACCGTCGATTGCAACTAAAGCCAGGTGCACACACTGCGATTTTAGTCGGCCGATTCAGGTTTAGATGGATGCTTTCAGCAAAAACAATCAGTGATAGGATCTGTGGGCTCATCTACATCGCCAGATTTGCCAATATCATACACCTAAACATTAAATCGGCCGACTAAAATCGCAGTGTGTGCGCCTGGCTTAAGCGGAAACACGTCATGAGAAAACGTGATCTAATTGGACATGAAACATAACATGTTTGGACTTCAAACTTTACATTTGACGGTTTAATTACAATTATTTTTCCCACGAAAATGTAACAAAGTTAGTACAAACATTGCAGACAATACTGAATTTGTCAAAACTCACAAATTTACAGTATGTTAGATCTTCACTACTTATTAGGCCTGTTTCATTAGTCAAATTTAATTCAGACAAATTTAATCACGGGTTTAGTGTTTGCAAGATAATTAATTCCCGCCCAATATGAATGTGTTTCTAAATTTGGAATATTGACAGTTGACAGTTGAAACATAAATGTTTGCAGTAAAATATGTGACGTTTGAAGTCCAAACAAATCATGTTTGACAGCCAATTGGACGCGTTTTCTCATGGCATGTTACCGCTTAGTCGCAATCGACGGTATTCAGGGTCTCCGTATCCAAATGGGATACCAGGATTCAAAGTTTGGTATCCCCCCCCCCCTGAGAATCCAGTATCCCACTTTTGGATACTGGTTATCAGTACCATAAGTATTATACTCCGTCCCATCCAAATAAGTTTCCATTACTCTTACTGTTACAAATTACAATATGGTAACAATGCACTATGTTGGACTAATTCTTGACCTCATTAACTATGGTTTTGATGACGTCAGGAGTTGGGTTAACCAATATAAAACTACTCTAAAACGACCAAGTAACAATCCAAAATTGTTTGAAATGTTTTTAATCATTTCTAAATTTCAGACAGCAACCAGAAACAAAATTTTGGATCCATATTGATGTTTACTCTCCAGATGAAAAATTAGTGTGACCCCTTTCTTGACGTAACAATTATGCATGTTAGTAACATCATGGATAATAAAATAAATGGATAGGAAACTAGCTGACGTGACGTAATGTTTTCAATGGGCTGATGGCGTGATTGGATATTGAAACCTAGTTCGCAAACCAAATTCTCAAAAACGGTATGTTTAGCAATAATACAGCTAAACATTTTAGTCAAAGAGCAAATGAATATAACTACGCCATTCTACGATGAAATCTCTAAGTATTCCCAGTCAATTTTAGCAAATATTTCAACGGTGAAAAAGGCATCCCAAATTTCGTTAAAATTGGGGATGCCAATTTCGTAGCTACAAAATGTAAAAAATACAAAACAAAGACGAAAAACATTTACCTTGAATACTTTGTCGTGGCTTAGGCATGTTTGTAAAACAATTAGACCAGTATATGCTTCAATATTACTCTTTTAAATTAAAGCGAAAAGTATAGCGAAACAACAAAAATGCCGAGAACTTTGCAATATGTGTGACAGATTGCAACCAGGTTGTTTTTGCTTACGTCAGCTAGAGTCCTATCCATTTATTTTATTATCCATGGTAACATGCATAATCTTCAATAATCCAAGATGACGAACAGCTCACTTTTTCGAAATATTTGGAAAACTAAGCAAGATATAAACAATCTGTAATAGCTGAGTTTAATATATAGTTTTAAGAGTTGTGTAATTTTATTGCCAATGTCCTTTATTTAAAGGATTTTGAATTTAAATTCAACTCAATTTAGATTTATGGTGACTGGGAGACAAGATTGAAGCGTGCATTCACAATATTCTTTGGTGGAGGTCTGGCATTAAATGGTGTACGTTCCTGTGGAGATTATATGTACAGCGGGCATACATGTGCTGTGACCTTACTCAATTTTTTCATCTCGGAATGTAAGTACAATTATATTTAATCATAATCAAGGGTATAGGCTGAGCCCACCCCCCTGTTGAAAATGTAATGCTGGTTTAGGTAGCCGACCTTCCAATATTTTTGCAGCTTGCATATTCATAACCTGGGAAGGTCTTTACAACTGCAGTGTCAGACCTTAAAATATGTTTTTCACGGCCGTCTTACAAAATGTCCGATGACTTTAAGTTTGGGTCGGACATATGTACTGTATGATGATATCCGATGACCAACAGTTTAGTTTAGCTCTGAAATAAGTCTGAATGACACAAATATATAATAATTATTCATACTTATTTCCATTAAGCCAAAATTAACTTGCATGCCAATAACAACAGTAAGATCGACGTCGACAGTTAAGTTCGTTTTCCACTTCACAATTTCGCTCGCCGCCTGCAACATTTTGATCCACGTTGGACAAAGGCGTCAAAGCAACAGTTCGGTTGGACACCAATTCACTCGGGTCAGACAGAATGTCCGGTGGTTTCCTCTGTAAGTCGGACAATTTCACGAATGGGTCGAACAATGTCCGTGACCGACCGATATTTTAAGGCCTTTGCAGTGTGGAAATGATGCAGTAATGTTAGTAATCTGTACTTGATTACTTAGCATGTCAGATGTTGGGATCCTAGGTAGCGGCGCTACCTGCAATTGCCTGAAGCTAACTGCAATCCTTGGTCAGAAGATCTTACGCATGCTTATAAGTAAAGTAGAAAATTTCAATTTTTCCGAATACATTTTGCAATATTTACCGACCAGATTTAATAACAGTCGTACTCAAGACGTAAATTCATCAAATGATGCCATCAAAAACTTAAACGTTCCTGTTCTGTGGCCGAATTTCATTCATCAGCAGACAATTTTGTCGGCTTGATATGTGAAAAGTTTCGAGCAATTGGGTTTTGAGCAAATTAGCGGACACTCAATTTTGACAATATGAAACATAACTCAAAAAATGTCTTCGGTGCCTGGTCCCTGTTGTAATTTGCCAGCTTCAAGCGAAACGGGCAAGTTTGCACCACGCAGGGCCAACTGTAAATTCTTTTTGGCTACCTGCATACAGGCATGGCAATCTTTGGTCAGAAGGTCTTACGCATGCTTAATTTAAGTAAAGTAGAACTTTTTAATTGGACTAACATTACCATACCCGCGATCGCCGTGTAAGGCAAACAAGATGCCTGGTTTCTTGCGTGGGGTTGCAACGGAAATTACAAATGTTAAGATACATCGCACACTGTACCTGTCAAAGTTTATTTTGAAGTTACCATACGTATGCGAAGAAACGTACAAAGACAGACTGATCTCCTTAGACTTACTACCAATCATACTGGCACGAGTTCCTTGACATTATGTTTTTCTTTAAAGCTGTACACAACATTATAACTAGTGTCTCGAATGAAGTCCTTCCGCAGTCAATTTCCCCATCGAGGCTCACTAGAACCCCAGTTGACACCAACGTGTTCTCGTTCCATCCTCGCAAATATAAGATGCTGACATACCAATGGCAACGCTCTCTCTTCATCAGAGTAGTAGGGAGTTTAAGATGCACCAAATCTGCAACGCTGACGCGACTAAAAAACAGTCGCTAATAATTGGAGACTAGTTTTACTTTGTTTTTCTCGTGTTCCTGGCTTTGTTTACCAACAACAATCCATAGTTTTTACCCGTGAAGTGAAACTGTGATACAGGGTGTTAGCTAGCCCATATAGTATACAGGGTGTATCAAAAAAAGCGCAATCCTCGACTGAGATGTAAATTGCTAAACAAATAATAGACGAAAACGTTAAAGTTTACATTCATTTTAAAGCGTAGCCATTCAGCTTTCTAACAGTGGGTTGTTTCTTAAATTTGACTCATTGGTTCGCGGATAATAATACTTTACGTTATTGCGATTGGAGATTAAAAAAATTGAGATGGAATAACAAATCGTTCTCATGAAAATAACTGATTTTTTCATTAAAACAAAAAAATGTTGCATTTTATTAAATGGATTGTAACAATAAGTATAATTACGGCTTTTCTTCCACTATTTTTAACTCAGTTTGAAACTTCAAATGCGATATAATTTTGGCTTGGACCATCTAAGCTGACTGACATCAACTTGCTATAATTTCTGTTTACATTACATCGCAATTCGATGACACTCTGGCTCGGACACCAGAATGTTTTGACGATTTTTAGCATTCGTTTAGGATTTTCAAACAACCTGGTCTCTTTTAAAATACTTTTAATTTGTTCTTACGTGGTTTTCCAGATGTAGTGACGACAACATTAAAGTTTAAAGAAGAAAATTCTAACATTTAAACCGACTAAACAATAACATAGTAAACTTGCATAATTAAACAGCAACTAAAAATGATAGGTTTTACTAAATCTTTTCCTGTGCAATTATTACTAGCATTGGAGACAAGGATAATAGTTTGTTTGAAAGAGAAAAGAACAGGCTTTGAAGTAAGCCTAAAAGCGTTTAACTAGAAATAGTATTTCGAAAGTTATAAAGCACAAAAGATGAATTGCGTTTATTTTGATACACCCTGTATACTGTCCGTTTGACGGACTCTTCCCAATTGAAGTAGCTAAGGGGCTTTCCCAACTGGGTCTACTGGAAGATTTTCATTTTTTCTGATGAGAAAGTGCATTGCGTTTGATTTTATATTATTATATCAAAGAAAATATATTATATTATTATATCAAAGTGTATCGTGTTTCATTTATATTGGGTGTGTATTCACAGAAATGAAATGTACAAAACAAAGTGTAATCGCTGTGCGTCCGTGTTCATTCACCGGAAATGAAATGTACAAAACCAAGCTACCGTTGTTTGCATCTAAGGAGAAACACGTTGGAAAACACTATTTATTCCTACACAAGAACTTTGATCGGTCAAAAAACTTTCCCAATTTACGTTTAACGGACAAAACTTTTTTTCTGGCTAACACCCTGTGATAATAGCGACAGTTTTTCGTCACGTCCGCGTCGTAGATTTGAGTATCTTAAGCTCCCTAATAAGAACTTGCAACTCTCTGCCAGAAGGTCTAGGATCTGTCGCTGGTACGATTTAGAACATTGTTGCTGTACTACTATCACAACGCTGCCAAAACATCCTATGATGTGGACGACGCCAGAACGTGGTGAATAGTTTGCTTGAAATGTAACACATCACGCAAATTCATGCAGCCATTAACGTGCTGCTATTAGTACATACACACTATCAATTATCAGTTTCAATTTATATATTAGTTATGTGTTTTCTACATCCAAGGGCCCACGGGCTTGGCGCATTTGCTGCGTTTCGATATGTTTTGTCTAGGTCTACGCCAAGTTTTTAAGCAATTTTCCGTATTTTCCAATGTTGGGCTCACAAAATTCAAACTATTTTAAAATTAATATATATGATTGTAAAATTAAACCACCATCCTAGGTTAGCGGTCGAGGGTGCATGTTTTTGTTTTACTTTCATGTTTAACACATAGACAGGGGCGTTGAAGTTTGCGCGTTTGTTGAACGGGAATGGTTGTGTGTACGTGTTGTTTGATTGTGTAATTATAGGCGAAGCTAAATAAATAAATAAATCTATTTATCTATCTAGATACGCCAAGGAGATGGTCATTCCTTCATACAATATGCTGGCTTCTCAATATTTTTGGAATATTCTTCATCCTTGCGGCACACGAACACTACAGCATCGATGTCTTCATAGCTTTCTACATCTCTTCTCGTATCTTCTTATACTACCACGCGCTGGCAAACGCACAATCCCTCGATAACCGTGCAAAGCTGCGAACTAGGATCTGGTTTCCATTGTTCTGGTTCTTTGAAAGCAATTGCAAGTTCAAGGGTCGAATCCCAAACGAGTACGAATGGCCGATAAGTTTGTCTTTTTGGAAGACCAAGGAACAGTAAGTGTTGATGGCATTGCAAATAGATAGATAGATAAATTACTGATACATAATTGTTCTTAACATACTGAGATATAGTTGTTTTTAAAAGCTAAAAAGCTACTAGAATCTTTAACAAATGGCGGAAGATTATTCCATTCATTAAAAAAACATATAGTTATGCGATGTTTGTTGTCCATGCACAAACTTCGCGCTATATGTTTTTTTAATGAATGGAATAATCTCCACCATTTGTTAAAATTCTTGTAGCTTTTTAAAATTCTTGTAGCTTGTAGCTTCTTTAAAATTCTTGTGGCTTGTAACTATTTCTCAGTATGTCATGAATAACTCATTATCTTAGTGTTTAAGTGTGGACTTAATTGACCATTTAATTAACTTTTTGAACTTTCTTAGGATTTTTAATGAATTATTAATCATTTTTCATATTATATTGTTGCATGATGTTTGCAAAAATATATAGCAATAACTATAGTTATTTGAGAACTGATTTTTTATTGCCAATGTCCTATAAAATCTAAAATTTGTCGTGAATTAGACGCCGTGAATTGTATAAGGGTGTATAAAAAAGATGTAACCCAACTTTGACATGAGACAAAAAAAAATATGTGGATTTCCTATTTCTTCTTGTAAAAACTTAGGTAGGTTTTAACTTTTAGAGTAGGTCGGTTTTAACTTTTTTTTAACTTTTCTTTTTATTTTCCTAACAACCGGACGCCATGTTTGTTTAGTTAGTGCTGCCACATCCAAAGATAAATTTCCCTAATATTGCCTCAAATTTCCATTTTCCACAAACGTTTTCTTCTAAGTGCAAAAACGTACAAGCATGATGCAATAAAAAAGTTTAGGGTCGGGATTTCGGCGTCCAAAAGCTAGATAGGTTTGGGAAACCGGAAACCCACATTTTTTTTTGCCTAATTAGTATAGGTAATCACACGGGAAAGAGTGCAATTAATGATTAACACTACGAGTGATATTTGAAAAATAGGCCAAAATTGCACGAGCCGCCAAGGCGAGTGCAATTTGGCACATTTTTCAAAAATCACGAGTAGTGTTGATCATTAATTGCACGACTTGCCCGTGTGATTATTTATTTATTTATTGTATGCATGACAAAATCGCTTTCTTTAAAATTCAACAGTTACTGCGTTTTGCCAAGAGTTTTCAACTCTTTTGTAAGCAATTTGGCACAAGCAAACTTGAGAAATGATCAAAAACTCATAAAAGCAACATAATTTAAACTACAGGGTGTTGTGCATCATAAACGTAGCCAGTGCTGGAAAATGTCCGGCAGCACCAGCAGCACCGCTGCCAGGAAATTTTCACAAGTTATTTTCGCAGGAAATTTTCTTACACCTCGCAGGAATTTTTTGTTACATATACTTCTAATACACTTACTGTACTGTTTAAAAATCCCAAAAGCATTTTGCAAGTCGAGATATCTGCATTGAACTATAAATAAACTGGAAGGCTACCTCAGGGGGGGGGGGAATTGAAGCCAGTGCATTTTAGTTTTTCTGAGTTATGAGCAGAAATACTCAACACTGAACGTTGGGCTATATATCAAATTGAAGCTATTGAAAAACGCTATTTGGTGTAGAAATTTCAAGACTTTAGCTAAGAGGGAAATATTGAAAAACTACAAACATAATTACCGATAATTTGCCGTTTTGCAGTTGTTTTTGTATTTTTAAAATATTTTTCTTTTCGCTGAAGTCTTGAAATTTCCACACCGAATAGCAATTTTCAATAGCTTCAATTTGATATGTAGCCCAACGTTTGGAGTCAAGTATTTCTGCTCATAACTCAGAAAAACTATTTTGGCTTCATCAAATCATAGGCTTTCATCATAGCAGTTAGCCTTCTAGTTTATTTATAGTTCAATGGATATCTGTATTGTGCCGAGATTGAAGTTTGTCACAATGTACGATTGTGCGGCGCGGCACCATACATATACGTTCTCTAAAATCTGCATAAACAGGAAGTTTTATGTTTGACTTACACAGGAAATTTTTATTTTTGGGTTTTGCTGCCAGGATGAGAAATATATTTTCTAGGCCTGAACGTAGCTAAACAGTTCGATTTTTACATAGGAAGAAAGAGCTGTTATTTAGCTTTTCTATGACACCTTTTTGAAATCGTAACGATGAGAAATGGCCACACACTCGTCAAATAAAAATTGCCGGTCGAAATCACATTCTTCCGCCGTTGGGAATTGAAAATACATTAATTATGCAAAGTTAGTCAATCCAAAAGCAACGCGAGCCTGCTGCAAGCTATTTGTTTCATAAAACGTTTTGATAACGAATGTTCTCTGTTCAGGGGTTAATTGAACCATGTTTCGTACCAAATTCGTATTGAATTATTGTCTCACTAAGACGAAGACTGACGAGTTGAACTTATTTTAGATAATTTAACATTCAATTTTAATTTCCTCTTGGGAATTGTTTATGTTTCGTTTTCGCGACCGGCAATTTTTATCCGACGAGTATGTGGCCATTTCTCATCGTTAAGGCCCTGTCACACTATTGCGTATGAGAGAAACGTATGAGAAGCGTATGAAAATGAATGAAATAATTTTCATACGCACAAAAATCCTTTGAAATGACAGCGTATGAGTACCGTACATCTGGCGTACCTCTAGCGTATTCAGCGTGTGCCTAGAGTATGCTTATCGTATAAAGCATACGTTCGATACGCACAACATTTTTGAGCATGCTTAAGAAAAATTTTCTGCCTCGCCGTATGCGACCGTGCTTGAAACGTATACAACCTATGCCTAACGTACCCCTAGCGTATGTCAACGTATACCGGCGTATGAGTGATATTTTTCATACGCTGGCATACGCTACTACGATACGCAATAGTGTGACAGGGCCTTTACGTCTTAAAAAGAGTATTCATTAAAAAGCTAAATAACTGTTCTTTCGTCCTATGTAAAAATTGAATTGTTTAGCCACGTTTATGATGCGCGACAGCCTGTTTAATTTCCGTAGCGTTTTTTTTTAGACATCCTGTATAATAAATACATCAAAAGATCAGGATTTTAGCTGTCAAATGAGACCTTTGTGAAATGACTGCGATAAAAATGACCAAATGCGCTCTGATTTAAAGTAATCGGTTGGATTCGCATTTTTCCACACAATATCTTTACACGCAATTAGCCATTCCGAAGTTGATGAGAGGACTGGGGACGAGTGTTAAAAAGTGCCCAAATTGAGAAATGAAACCTCCTCAAAATTAGTAAGTATGCAAAGTTTGAAGACGTTTACATGAATACCCTGAGAATAATAAGCATTCGAAAATTGTGAAATTACTGATTAAAAGATTGTTTTTGGGACGCGCGTCTCAAAAACAAAAATTACAGTACATTTCATAGCAAATATTGCGATTTTCGAAAGCTTATTATTCGAAGGATATTCATGTAAACGTCTTCAAACTTTGTATACTTACTAATTTTGAGGTGGTCTTTTTAGTGATTTGGTTCATTTCTTTATCTGGGCATTTTTTAACACTCTTTCCCAGTCCACTCATCAACTTCGGAATGGCTAATTCCCAACGATGGAAAAATGCGATTTCGGCCGGCATTTTTAAATCAGATCGTCGATCGCAATGGTGCAAGAAAGATAGCATTGGACAGCTACGGAAAACGTAAATAGATAAACGTATATATATATATAATGCACAATAACATTGCCAAAGTTGGGCTACCCTTTTTTGATATACACCTAACCATACTAAAAGTAGGAAATGGATAGATGTTTTAACTATAGAAGTTATTATAGTATTGAATTTTTATAATTATTTATGATGCAAAAAAGTTATTAAAATGTAAAAAGCAGGGGCTGGGAGTATCAAATTAATAAATTATGTTGTTTTGTTTACACGATAATTGCACTGGCTGATGCATATGCTAGTCACTGCCTAGTAATTGACCATTTGCATTATAGACTAAATTTTGATCTAGACAAAAATTTCATCACAGCTTGAAAGAGCATCACAAAATTAGTAATATTCCAACGGTTTCGTTGCGAAATGCGGGTAATATAGCCTTGCGAAATTTCCAATTTTCAGTCATTTTGTATTACAAACGGGAAATTGGTGCCCCAACACGCGATTGGGCTGTCAATTTCCCGTGCGTAATACAAAATGACTGAAAAACGGCAAACTTCGCAAGGCTATATTATCCGCATTTTACAACATTTCGCAACGAAACTTTGGAATATTACTAATTTTGGGGTTAAACAGTTTCTTCTTGACGCAAGCGACTCAATTTTATTTCTCGGTAAGCCAATGATATCTAGACAGCGATTTTGTACTCTTTCGATATCCTCCTTTAGGTAATACGGTAAACCAGCCCAGATTGGTGCCGCATATTCCAGTATGGATCTCCCATAGTTATTTACTGGGTTCTGCTCTTTATCATTAAATTGATCTTTAAATATTGTTAGCATGAATAATTCCGATGCAATGTAGCGACTTCTAACCGAAGTTTTTGGATCAGGAACTGGTCCCCAATCGCTGCTAATCTTGTTGTTGTTGTTGTTGTTGTTGTTGTTGTTGTTGTTGTTGTTGTTGTTGTCGTTGTTATGGGGCGACGTTCTTCGGAGAAAGGCTAAGGCTCGTCTCCGAATGTGACTGTGTTCGAATTTTTATTTTCAATTTAGGAACAACTTTGCAAGCAATTCTTGTCTGTACGCGTAGAATAATAATATGCATATCATTAAAATTCGCACACAAAACCGAACCATAACTTCGGAGGTAATGCTTTTTTCAATATCGAGGCAATTGTTTTCAATATCGCGTATATGCGAGGAAAGGCGTTCAAAATCTAAAATCTTTTTGGCTTTCCTCCCAAAATTGGTTCTTTCTAGCTTTATTTTCCAGTTTACACACCAGGGGCGTAGAAACCGGGGGGTGAATCCCCCAAGAATCTCTCTCTCTCTCTCTCTCTCTCTCTCTCTCTCTCTCTCTCTCTCTCTCTCTCTCTCTCTCTCTCTCTCTAGTGTATTTACGAAAATATTACTGAAAAAGTTCACCAACAATTTTGGGAAAAGAAATATTAATTAGCGACTGAAATGTTCGTCCGTCAGGAACGACTTCGGAAACGCCCTTTTGGTTAGCAAAACAAGCTCACCCCTACCCCCAGCCGTAATACCGAAGTTTCGCCCATGTTGGAGAGCCCCCTTGTTAACATTGCAGGACTACACCAGTGTCTTTGCACCCCACCCCCTATAAATCCACCACTGCATTGGACAGCTACGAACAAACGTGAATGGATAAACGTTATCTATACTGCCTGATCTTCATATGGTCGTCACGCTTGTACAGATTGAGTCACGATGTTTCTCATCAGGCGAAATACAGTATTTTAGAACTGAAAATACGCGCAGTGATTATAACTAGAGAATACTTATGAGGGTGGGAAAGGATATTTTCGTGAGCCGTGAATGGTCAATATTTGTTCGCGTGAAATTTGAAATGCTTGATTTTAGTGTCGTGAAATGTGATTTGTTCTACAGCCGTGAGGCGTGATTGTTGACAAAAAGGCTCCGTGAAATGAGAATTAAGGATGTCTGTTTCGTGAACTGTGATTTTGCTCTCGGTTCATTTCGATCTATTTTATAATAGTCATAATAAACATACGCAATAATCAAATTTATATGATCTCCTCGATTGCAGAAAGGTTCCTCACGCTGAGGACAAGGTGCTTCACGCTGAGGACAAGGTTCCTGACGCGGAGGACAAGGTACTTCACGCTGAGGACAAGGTTCCTGACGCGGAGGACAAGGTTCCTGAGCCTATGGACCGTAGATTTCAACAATACAATATTCGGACTGAAAATTGTATTTCTGGAATCTACGGTCCATAAGCTTTCTGTCGATGCCTTATCCGAGCATCACTAGACGTCCGTGGACATAAAAAGCATTTTTTCTAGCTGCACGTGTAATCGAAAAGGACGCGAAAGTTAATATTATATGTTGTTTCGAACCATGCGTTCTATTGAATTTCAAGGCCCCTGTAGCAGAAACTTGAATTTACCACGGTCTGAAAATTGTATTTTTGGAATGTAAGGTCCATAAGCTTTCTATCCATCCTTATTCGTGCAGTACTAGAGAGTCCATGAAAATAAAAAGCAGGTTATTCCAGGCGCATAATCGAAAAAGACGTGAAAGTTAATATTATATAAGTTAGGGTTAGGGTTAGGGCCGTTTCGAATCCGATGTTCCATTGAATTTCAAGGCTCCTGTAGCGGAAATGTGAATTTACGCCAGTCTGAAAATTGTATTTTTAGTATCTACGGTCCATAGACTTTCTGTCGATGCCTTAATCCTGCACCACAAGACGTCCTTGGACATAAAAAGCTGTTTTTACTGCTGCACGTGTAATCGAAAAGGACGCGAAAGTTAATATTATGCTGTTTCGAACCTTGCGTTCTATTGAATTTCAAGGCACGTGTAGCAGAAACTTGAATTTACAACGGTCTCAAAATTGTATTTTGGCAATCTAAGGTCCATAACCTTTCTATCGATGCCTTATTCGTGTATCACTAGACAGTCCATGAAAATAAAAACAGGTTATTCCAGGTTCATAATCGAAAAAGACGTGAAAGTTAATATTATGCTGTTTCGAACCTGATGTTCTATCGAATTTCAAGGCCCTTGTAGCAGAGACTTGAATTTGGCCCAGCCTGAAAATTGTATTTATAGAATTTACGGTCCATATGCTTTCTATCGATGCCTTACTCGTGTATCAAAAGACAGTTCATGAAGACAAAAAGCAGGTTATTCCAGGTGCATAATCGAAAAAGACATGAAAGTTAATATTATGCGGTTTCGAACATTGCGTTGTATTGAATTTCATGGCCTCTGCAGCAGAAACTGGAATTTGTCACGGTCTGAAAATTGTATTTTTATAATCTACTGTCCATAAGCTTTCTACCGATGTCTCACTCGTGTATAAAAAAAAGGTAGTCCACGAAGAAACAAAGTAGGTTATTCCAGGTGCGTAATCGAAAAAGACGTGAAAGTTGATATTATGCGGTTTGGAACCTGATGTTCTATTGAATTTCAAGGCCCTTGTAGCAGAGAATTTAATTTGGGCCGACCTTAAAATAGTATTTCTGGACTCTACGGTCCATTAGTTTTCTACCGGTGCCTTACTCGTACATCACTAGGCCGGAGGTGGAGATAAAAAGCATTTTTTTCCCGCTGTGTAATCGAAAAAGACGATAAAGTTAGTATTATATAAGTGAGGGTTAGGGTTTGGGCTGTTTCGAATCTGATGTTCTATTGAATTTTAAGGTCCCTGTAGCGGAAACGTGATTTTATCACGGTCTGAAAATTGTATTTTTAGAATCTACGGTCCATAAGCTTTCTACCAATACCTTACTCGTGTATCAAAAGACAGTTCATGAAGATAAAAAGCAGGTTATTCCAGGTGCATAATCGAAAAAGACGTGAAAGTTAATATTAATATTATGCGGTTTCGAACCTTGCGTTCTATTGATTTTCAAGGCATCTGCAGCAGAAACTGGAATTTGTCACGGTCTAAAAATTGTATTTTTAGAATCTACGGTCCATAAGCTTTCTATCGATGCCTTACTGGTGTATCAAAAGACAGTCCATCAAGATAAAAAGCAGGTTATTCCAGGTGCATAATCGAAAAAGACGTGAAAGTTAATATTATGCGGTTTGGAACCTGATATTCTATTGATTTTCAAGGTCCTTCTAGCAGAAACTTGAATTTGGGCTGGCCTCAAAACTGTATTTCTGAAATCTACGATCCATGCATAAGCTTTCTGTCGATGCCTCATTCGTGCATCACTAGGCCGGAAGTGGAGATAACAAGCAGTTTTTTCCGGCTGTGTAATCGAAAAAGGCGATAAAGTTAGTATTATATAAGTGAGGGTTAGGGTTCTGAAATCTACGATCGATAAGCTTCCTGTCGATGTCTCATTCGTGCATCACTAGGCTGGACGTTGAGATAAAAAGCAGTTTTTTCCAGCTGTGTAATCGGAAAAAAACGTGAAAGTTAGTATTATATAGGTGAGGGTTAGGGTTTGGGCTGTTTCGAATCTGATGTTCTATTGAATTTCAAGATACCTGTAGCGGAAACGTGAATTTCTCACACTCTGAAAATTGTATTCCTAGAATCTACGGTGCATAAGCTTTCTATCGATGCATTACGCGCGTAATAAAAGACAGTCCATGAAGATAAAGAGCAGGTTATTCCAGGTGCATAATCGAAAAAGACGTGAATGTTAATATTATGCGGTTTCGAACCTTGCGTTCTATTGATTTTCAAGGCCTCTGCAGCAGAAACTGGAATATGTCACGGTCTGAAAACCCTATTTTTGGAACCTAAGGTCCTTAAGCTTTCTATCGATGCCTTACTCGTGTATCGGAAGACAGTCCATGAAGATAAAAAGCAGGTTATTCCAGGTGCATAATCGAAAAAGACGCGAAAGTTAATATTATGCGGTTTCGAACCTGATGTTCTATTGAATTTCAAGGCCCTTGTAGCAGAGACTTGAATTTGCGCCAGCCTGAAAATTGTATTTCTGAAATCTACGATCCATAAGCTTTCTGCCGATGCTTCATTCGTGCATCACTAGGCTGGACGTTGAGATAAAAAGCAGTGTTTTCCAGCTGTGTAATCGGAAAAAAAACGTGAAAGTTAGTATTATATAGGTGAGGGTTAGGGTTTGGGCTGTTTCGAATCTGATGTTCTATTGAATTTCAAGATCCCTGTAGCAGAAACGTGAATTTCTCACACTCTGAAAATTGTAGTTTTAGAATCTACGGTCCATAAGCTTTCTATCGATGCCTTATTGTGTATCAAAAGATAGTCCATGAAGAAACAAAGCAGGTTATTCCAAGTGCATAATCGAAAAAGACGTGAAAGTTAATATTATGTGGTTCCGAACCTGATGTTCTATCGATTTTCAAGGCCCTTGTAGCAGAGATTTGAATTTGTGCTAGCCTGAATATTGTATTCCTGGAATCTACGATCCACAAGCTTTCTCGTGCATCAGTAGGCCAGACGTGGAGATATAAAGCGGTTTTTTCCAGCTGTGTAATCGAAAAAACGTGGAAGTTAATATTATATAAGTGAGGGTTAGTGTTTGGGCTGTTTCGAAACTGATGTCGTATTGAATTTCAAGGTCCCTGTAACGGATGCGTGAATTTACGCCGGTCTGAAAATTGTATTTTTAGGATCTGCGGTCCATAAGCTTTCTATCGATGCCTTACGCGTGCATCAAAAGACAGTCCATGCAGATAAAAAGCAGGTTATTGCACGTGCATAATCGAAAAAGACGTGAAAGTTAATATTATGCGGTCTCGAACCTTGCGTTCTATTGATTTTCAAAGCCTCTGCAGCAGAAACTGGAATTTGTCACGGTCTAAAAATTGTATTTTTATAATCTACTGTCCATAAGCTTTCTACCGATGTCTTACTCGTGTATCAAAAGACAGTCCATGAAGATAAAAAGCAGGTTATTCCAGGTGCATAATCGAAAAAGACTTGAAATTTAATATTATGCGGTTTCGAACCTGATGTTCTATTGAATTTCAAGGCCCTTGTAGCAGAGACTTGAACTTGGGCCAGCCTGAAAATTGTATTTCTGAAATCTACGATCCATAAGCTTTTTGTCGATGTCTCATTCGTGCATCACTAGGCTGGACGTTGAGATAAAAAGCAGTTTTTTCCAGCTGTGTAATCGAAAAAACCCGTGAAAGTTAGTATTATATAAGTGAGGGTTAAGGTTTGAGCTGTTTCGAATCTGATGTTCTATTGAATTTCAAGATACCTTTAGCGGAAACGTGAATTTCTCACACCCTGAAAATTGTATTTTTAGAATCTACGGTCCATAACCTTTCTATCGATGCCTTACTCGTGTATCAAAAGATAGTAGATGAAGAAACAAAGCAGGTTATTCCAGGTGCATAATCGAAAAAGACGTGAGAGTTAATATTATGCGGTTTCCAACCTGATGTTCTATCGATTTTCAAGG